TGACTCGTACTGAACCACCCAGACGTACGGCGCAAAGTCGGCTGTTAACCGGAATCCAATCGAGAAGTGAACACTCGGCCTTGACACTTAGCGCAATCCCAGCACCAGCAACACCGCGAGCTTCGGATGCCGAATCGCCTGACACATGGAGAGTGAAGTGTGAGGGTGAGGCTGGATCTGGTGGACGGAGGATGACTGAAGTAGGGTCTTGTGTGCGTGTTTCAGAGACATAGTATACGTCTAAATGATCGGTTTCAAGGGTTCTAGCTAAGGCGGCTTATTGACCGACCTGGTAGAGTGTGCGGACATTGAACGCGGCTAAGTAAAAAAGGACTTTGGTTTCAAAAATCTGGTAGCCTCCGAGTGGTTGACCCTATTAGTTTAACGCTGAGTGATATGCGATGGGAGTCGCAAACAGGAGGCACCTGAGAATGTTTGGGATTGAGAAGAAACACTAGACAGATGGGAGTGTCTGGTTTTCATCTTACAGTCGATCTCTCAGCAACAATAGCTCTTCATTGTTCACAGACAGCATCGTAGTGTGTGCCAATCCGGACCATCGCTACATAAGACGGTCACCATCATCTTATTGCCACATAAGTGGCAGCTGGCCGTGCAAGGTCATCTCTGATGAAGAAAGCTTGAATTTGCAACCGGTGTAGGCGTCCTTCCAAGCTGCAGGTGGCCATTGCCCGCATAAATGCTCTCGCGAATGACATTAAACTGTAACTCAGCACATCGGAAACCAGGTTATTTTTCAACCAGTCTGATCTCCTAACGCACCCACTGAATATGGGGCTGAAAATCCATCAGTTGGGATGAATAAAACAATTCGTGACTTGACTTCTTGAATACCTCATTGTAAGAGAATGCAGAAGTCAGAAAACTCCATTTGTTAGTATAAGCAAGCGTCGTAATAAGCACGCAGGTACATCAGTGTTCGTAAGCAAAGCTGATAGGTAGTCGAATTGCCAACAGTTAGCGCGGGTCGTACATGCCATCGCAGATTGTCGAGTCAGACAGTCAAATGGACAGATAGCTCATTACTGAGGTCTGAATTGCTGAAGTGAGCTAATCCTGGGACGGATCAAGTTAGCGTATCGAAAATATAATCGTAGAATCACAAACAATCAATGGGGATATTTGCATGTTATTACCGAATGTACAAATAGACAAAGGAGAAACTGATTCTCTTCGTAGGCGGCGCCGGAAGACATTGGATAGGCCATGAAAAAAGTCTTGCCCAAAGATGCGTGTTTATCACGCCAATATCGAACTCCCGTTCATCAGTGGCACCGATGACATTGTTAAAGTGAATTTTTCGAACCATTGACTCTTACAGATTCGTCAGCAATACATAATCAGACAATGAGTACTGCTGTAAATCAGAGGAAATGTTATTGTTTCTCCAAAGTTATTGCGTTCAGTGGTTTAGTCACGCTATCCGGCGACCAGAGAGTGAACTTCTGAGACGTACTCATCATCCAGCGGCATGCACAAGATACCACTGTCATTTAGGTAGTCAAACAAAATCGTGGATCAGCACCAGCGAGGCTGATATTGGAAAATTCGGTGAGCAATCGCGGTGGGTGAGCAGCTGCTGTCAGAAATATCCCCAAAGTAGGCTTATATTTGAGTAAGAGATAGTTGTCGTAAGAAAATACGTAACCGCCTTGGGAACTAGCGTGGTAGCAACTCGAAGACAAGGAAAACAAAAAAGTTTAAACTTTGAAGTGGACGAAGAAAATGAAACGAAACAGGTTACGAATTAAGACGAAAATAAGGAGAATAATGTTTTCTTATGTTCAGACTGAAAAGTTTAGTAGCCTCGGGATTGAAACCCATTCGTGAATACCACCAATGCTTTTGTATAACGCACGCTATGGCAGATGATCCACTATTCTATGATCGTTTTACATTTGGAGTACGTTTCAACTTTCAGAAAAGTGGAGTCCTTTCAGGCAGCATGTGAGCTGACTGCGACGCTAGGTTTTCCTTAGATTCTCCCGGAATCCATCGAATTACCTTCTAACGTGGGGTTAATTGTTCAACTTATATTGTTTGGCTGGTTGAATTCCATGCGTGAGTTCTAATCTCACTCAGACTACGAACGAACGAATGGAAAAGACGCAATTTTAAACTCGGATTGTTTACTCATAGTTTTAGCACTTTCAGTTATGCAGCCATTAGCGGAGACAATCTGATCCATTCTCCTGCGCTATACGCCTCAAAATCTGATAATAATGTGCTGAATATGGAATTTCGGTGTCCCACGCGCTTTTTTCGCAATTTGTACTTTCTGCCTGCAGTTCTGGGAAAGTGTGGCTTATCAAGCTCTCAAATTCCGACTTTGGACTTTCCTGGAGACGGCACGTCTGTGTCCTCTGATGACAGCACAATTCCTATGGAGGTAACTAAACGCAGGCTTCTCGATAGCAATATTGGGGTAAGTATACTTTCGTTTCCTCGCTCGTAGCAAGTGTGCAGTATTCAAGAGGGCAGGATGCGTTGCTTTAGAAATATACTTCGTGTCTTTGTCCATCGGGTGTGTGGTATTTGATCTTTCATCCCTTAGATAACCGAAGGTTCAGATAGAAGCTAGCTCGTCTTCCGCCTTTTGCTATCCCAGATCCATCTGTTAATAAAAAACTAAAGAAATTTTCCTTGCTATCACGCATATGCTAGTGAAGATCAAGTGACTTGATTTCCTGTTGGTGGCGTGATGTTGGAACCTCCCATCTTCCACCCAATTTAAGTTGTAGACGGCTCCGCTGTCGTCCTTTTAAAATGCGGCGTGTTTCCTAGTGGGGTATTTTATGGTTGTCCACTTCAAACCACAGGTTACCTTAATGGAATAGTAGGTGTGCTTTCCGCACGATGGTGTATACTAAGAAATGCGCAAGTTTTATGGGAAAGATTTTTATTTTGAATGTTGATCATAAAGCGATGCCAATGTCTTCCGTAGTGTGTAAACGATAAATTGGCGTAACGTTTCGTTCTTAATCTTCCTGCTTTCTCAGATTCCGACAGCTATGCACACGCCTAGTTCTCCAGGTCGCCGACCGCTAGCTTCCTCATCTGTGTCAAAATCGATCAAAGCCAAAATTGATTGGCCCAACAGTTCTAACATATCCCGCCCACTCCTGCCTAAGCCATCACTCAATCCAAACATCCGTGTGATTGAGCTCCCACCGATGCCCAGTTCATCGCATACTACTGTTCCAGGACGACCGGTCAAAACCGTAAGTTTGATGCGTTCTGTGTGCGAATATTTGTTTAAACGTTTACAAAGTTTAAACGTAGAATCTCCTTTTTCTAATCGGAGTATCTCATCTTTGCATTTTCTGTATAAATAGTCCTCGGTGTTCTCTGGTTACTTTTATGATTGGTAAACCGAAGCGCCGTCCTCATCTTTCCGCTCGGTGCAATAATCGTATTATGGCTATTCGTATCATGTCGTTTCTTGTTTGGCCTGTAATCCAAATCGTTAAACTAAGGTGACCACTGAATTTCTAGTTCATGAGAGTAGTTGAGGTTCTATAATGTAACGAATTTCGTCGTCTAGAGACCAAACGAAGCTTGAACTGAAGTGTGGAAACCCTACATAATGTATGGTGCACTTCGGATGTACGAGTCGCGTTCAAAATGCTTGCTATCTGATCGACTAGACACCAGACTTCGATCAGTCGCAGTCCCTTCACACCGCCTTGCTGTCTTGTGGGTTACGTTTCCATTAACCCAAGTCTTCGGTTGCGGACTCCTAAGAGAATCATCTACTTTAACCTGACCAACGCAGTGACATGATACCACTAATGAATCACGGTTTGCCACAAAGATGCTTGCACCAGTTGGAGGAAAATGGGTATTGCAAACTGCAAACACGCGATACCATCGTGGTGCTCATTGTCTCTAATGCTACAAGAACTAGGTCTTATGGATCTCATAATAGTCTTTGGTTTGCCATGCTCATATCTTTCACTACGAGACTACACATTTACGTTGCATGGTAGCTTGTGCACCTCTATGGCCCAACGAGCTGCACAGGATGTCTGTATATTTATGTACAACACACGTTTGGTTCCAAAAGAATCTACACATGATAGCTCTTATTAAACCAAATATTTAACCTGGTAGGTGGAAGAGTAGAGTTTAGACTAAGTTCAATCTCCTGCTCCGCCAGGTTGGAGTTCGACTCCAGTTGGCGTCTCAGTGGGTGAAAAATGATTCAGTAATCGATCCAGGTAGATGGGCATCCATCCGCTGCCTTGCGATCAGGTTCTGGTTAGGACTAAGGGTTTTGATTGAGAACCGTAACCGTTCGCCTGCTTAGTGGTTGAAATCTCTGGCAGTACTCGTCAGTAAAAATCCAATGAACAGAAACTAAAAATAATCCCTTACTACGTCGGTCCTCGGACAGAATAATTAAGACCACGCTGCCCATTGCATCGAGCGCGGTGGGTTGTGATGAGTGAGCTGCTGCTCAGACATTCCAACTCCTGTTTGATTCGCATTCAAGTCAGTTACGTGTGAGTAGGGGTGTGGGATACTTGATACTGATTTATATTGACTATCCTTCGGACTTCACCTTCACCCACAATCCTCCGTTCACCCAGTTTATCCCAAATGCACTGACCGGCTATCACTGAAGACAACACCTAAACGAGCATGAATTGGCAATGGATTTCAGCCCTAGTATGAGCTGGCTGGCTCAATGGTAACACACCTTCCATGCGATGGTTCCAGAGTTCAGAGCCTGGACGGTGGATATACACTACTGATTAGTTCCAATAAGAGCGAAACTTGAATCCAGTGCTTCCTGGTGTATGGTTGACTAGATGACGTGAGGATTAGGTGTGAAGGTGAAGTCTGAAGGATAGTTATTTCAAATCAATTTTGTTTAATTCTTTGTCTTCCGTACCCGACCCTCTGTCTTTTCCACTTCCTGTCCGTAATATTCCATCTGGCAACCTGTTTATCACTCACCAACGCTTGTTTTCAATAGCACTGCAAATAGTTAACCATAAACTAGATTCTGAGGCCTCATCAGCCTCCGGATCTGGGGCCCTTCAACGCGATGATTGTCACACAGGTGGGTCAACGAACGTGTATTGTGCATACGATAAACTCTTTGAAAATTGATATCTGCTGCGTATCAACAAACGTCCATCAATAAAATTTTTTAGAAGGTATGTTGCCATTGTACCAACCAACTCGAAGAAAGGTATCGTGTTTCACTTTAATGAGGCTTCACTCTAAAGCTTGCTACCAAATCGGGTTATAGTGAGCGAGACTGGATGTGATAAGAATGTCTCCGCTAGCCATGGTCCTGAAAATGATGACAAATATATACCAGGTGCTTCATAGGCATCAGGCCTAATACGGTGCCTCAATCGCTAGTTAGTGATGTATGCGCATGAATTGACAGGTTACGCGGCAGCGGTTCTCTGGGGTATCCTAAGAGATCCTGTCAGATCAGTTATCTTTCAAGATGGATCTGGGGCAAAATGATCGGGGGCCCGTTTGTTTGATTCCCTCAACACTCAGTTGCCAGAGTAAACAGTCGTAAATTAAAACCGAGTGGTAGAAACATCTTGAACTTCGTTTTCTGCCTGGTCTCGTTCTTGCATTCGAGGACTGCAGAATCAGCCTTCGGCCATTTGAATGTCGTCCATGATTTCTCCGTTAGTGCGGATGGTGAAGCCAAACTACTTGAAGTTCGAGACGGTTTTTATCGTTGGGCCACTCATTTGCCTGGGGAGTTTCGCTTAACCAGTTGGTGCTCCTCTCTGTAAGCCAATCTCCGTAGCGTGTGACTTTTGGTGCGGTTATGGGCTGTTTGCAAAGCAGTCGGATCATCCCTAAGCATCACTACTTCATCGGAGTAGCACTTTTGTTTTATTATTTTATTGTGGGAACCACATGGAGCTGTAATGCACTGTTATGTGAAGTGGCCAGTTCACCTCCGCTGGTGATTAGACGTTTGCAAACGATTTGCCAAGCTGGGGGAACAGGCGAAATTGAATTCAGTTCACCCGAGCCACGGTAACCTATTTTCAGTGCTTTGTCAACATTATGTTACTATCAAATATATCAGTAGTCATATTGTATACTTAAGCATTCGCTTCACTCAACCGACGAACATTGGTGTGACTTCTGAACATGGGCTGTTCTGCTGTCGTTTTAATATCTCATGATTAATTTTTTTCTGGGATCTCGGAGCTGTGTTAATGTTCTAGAGTCGTTTTAATCTGAGGCGTGCTGCAGTTTATCGCCATTACCACACAGCTCACCTGGTTAAAGTTCTGACGGATATAAGTGCTGGGGCACTTCGCATGCCTGTTTTTGTATTTCAGTCTCGCTCTATTTTTCTATTACACCTG